AGAGGTGAGGGGCGACCCGGCACGGCCCTTGCCGCAGCCCCGGGGTGAGGGGCCCTGATTACCCCAGGCGCAGTTCCTGGGTCATCCGAGCACCGTTTCATACCTTGGCCCTGAAGCTGCGCTTCTGCCAGACTCATTCCACTCTCTCGAGAGTTCAGTGTCACTGTGTATAGCAACACAGATTTACTTTCTATATAACTATACAGATTTCCCCAATTATTCTATTCAAAGTGAGATAAAAACAGTGCTAAGTATTTTTTAGTCGTTGGGGTGGGGGGTGTCTGCAGTGATACTAATTTGTGACTTTGAATGTGATGATTTTCTCAACATTGTTCATCTTACATTAAGGAAAGCTTACTAGTTAACTAGTTTAACTATTTTGCTAGTTACTAGTTTACTAGTAGGTGGTTGCTATATGATAACTGCAATAATGTAAATATTCAGGCTAAATATGGGAGCATGCCCTCATGCATTTAAGATGCTTCTAAGATGCTTTTAAAAGCTATGACTGTGTTCAGAAAAGGAGGACCTGACTCGTGGAGAAGCCAGAAGAACATTACAATACCTTATTTTATAAAATGCTGCACGAAAGGTTTCTAATTCTTAGTCCTCCACTTTGAGCTTCCACCCATCAGAAACCTGTTCTTGTTAACAAAAATGAACCAAATTATATATTGTATTGATCTGGGATCCCATACAAAAGGCTTTAATATTGTTCTCTTTCAGGATTTAAACAGAATGGTGATAAAATTATTCACTTTTTTTCCTGCCCTTATAGTTCTGCACTTTTGCCTAAAATGGCCGAGCAGGATTCCTCATCGCTAATTGAGGTTGTAAAACACGTTGCAGAGCAGCAGCATTCACAAGCCTCAGCCATAGAAAAAAGCAAAACAACTCTTTTCCAGTTGCAGGTAATCAGCCTTGTTTGCAGTAGTTTAATTATGTTTTTTCGTTAGAAGAGGAAGTATTCCTATGAGCAAGAGAAGCTGATGGTACTTGATTTTTTCTGAATGTTTGCACTGAGGAGTACGGCAGCTGTTCTGTTCTGTTCCTGCATGTGGCATTTAGGCTGAGCCAAAACTGTCTGTGTGCTATTATTTGTAAAGCTGCATTATAGCTAAGACTTCATTAGAGCAGGTCATAGAAGAAGCTTCTTCATTTTTATTTGAGAAAAAAACCAACCAACCAACCAACCAACCCCCAAGCCAAGCCCCCAAACCACTGCGATAGTAAAACCACAAAAACTCAATACAAAGTTGGAGATCTTTGAATTTTTCATCATGTTTTCCTGAGAAATTAATGGGAAAAAGGGATTTCAAATACGTCCTTTTTGGCAGATTTTCACCAGACTCTGTTATTTTTTTCTTAGCATCTTTTTAATACAAAATACTTTTTTTTTCTGTCTCTTTGAAGTGAGTGTCCTGAATATTCATTACATACTGGTTTTATTTAGTAATATTTTGTAGAACGCTGGATACACAGTGTATTTAAAGCCCTAGGTAATTAAGTTAGCTCATTTACTTTCTTCCTCTTTCACACCTTTTCCTTTTTCCTTCAAAAAAAGCCTTGGAAATTCCATAAAAACATCCATGTCAGCAGAAGAGCAAAGTTAAATAATTAAGAACTTCAAGTTAGAATGCAGAAATGCTCTTTCCTCTTTATGGCTGTTCCCACGTGTGCATGTCACAGAAGACATGTGAAACAGTAATTTCTTCTGCAAAACTGAAGATCTTTGACATTAAGATCTTTTGCTTCCCTGTCCTCAGTAAATGGTGGCTGGCAGCGATACAAATCCTGCTCAAACTGCAGCCCAAGATTTCCAATCAAAAGTTACAGAGAAACTTTTTGTTCTCAACAGTTAAAGATGTCTTTATCTGTTCAAGACGTTAAGAGGTTTCATGGCACTCTGAATGCCTCCACTAGGGAGCAGATAATAGGTGACATGAATCATGATGTTATTTCTCTCACTTAAAGCACTACTGGTGGCTGTGACTTTGGGCAGGATCCATCACAGCTAACTTACATCACCCATAAATCAGTTGTTGAGCCCACACTGGTCCTCCAGGCTCCCTTGGTAGTCACCAAAGAGAGAAACGTTCCTGAGGAAGCAGCTCAGCCATCCCATGGCACTTGGGCACAGGCTTTAGTGATGGACTTTGCAGTGTCAGGTTCATGGTTGGATGTGATGATCTTAAAAGTCTTAAAGGTCTTTTCCAACCAAAATAATTCTATGGTTTCTTATGATGGGTTGAAGTACTGCTTCCTGCAGCTTCAGCCTAAAAAGAGGCCGCCTTTTTAGGACTAGATGTGTGTTCTTCAGGGAGTTAAAACCATCTGGGATTAATCCTACTCTCAAATTCTAGTGTGATGAAGGTGATATTAAAAATTTAGAACAGGCAAGTTAAACTCCATCCCCCCGAACACCCATCTCTGTGTTTGTGTGGGTTTGTAAGTGAGTTTGGGCATCATTAATGATTTTCAGTTTGATTACGACTTGACCAGATTTCAGCTCTAAACAAACATTAGGATTGGGTTTGTCCTGTCTTGTCTTATGTGTCTTAAAAATGAAAAGAATTTCAAGTAATTTCAAGGATACTTTACTTCATATTTTAGAGTCAGTCTAAGAGGAGAAGTCTAAGGTAGTATTCTTGCACTGTGCCTCTGAGGTAATGATTTTAGGAAGTGGAACTCTATCTTCCATTCAAGCCACATTTAACAAGTGAAAAAGAATCACAGAGCAGGTTGGGTTGGAAGGGACCCTAAAGCTCATTAACCCCCCTGCCATGGGCAGGGACCCCTCCCACTAGAGCAGGTTGCTCAAAGCTCCATCCAGCCTGGCCATAAACTCTTCCAATCTTGGGACATCTACAGTCTGCTCCAGTGTCTCAGCACCCTCAAAAAGAAGACTGCTGAATAAATATAATAAATATATATTACAGTGTTTAACTAGACACTAAGTATCCTCTCAAAAACTGTTCTGAAGTGAACACTGAAATATTTTACAGGGAAAGTTTCAACAACTAGAAAAAGAAATGAATTCTATTCTGTTGGAAACGAAGACGATAGAAAGGGAAATCCATCTGCAAGAGGATGCCATAGAAGTGACAAAACTTCACTGTGAAAATCTAGAGGCTGAAGTCAGAGCCCTGTATTCTGAGAATTTAAAGCTGAGGTGTGATGCAGAAAGAGCACAAGAAGAGTTTGAGATGACATTTGCAAGAAATAACGAGTATTGGGAGAAAATAAAGGCTCATAAACGTCTCTTTTGGGAGATGGAAAGTAAAATGACAGCTGTTACTGAGCTGGCCAAAAAGAAAGCTGCTGTTAAGGAATTAAAGACAAAGAAAGAGGAGTTAATGCACAATCTTCAGAATCCAGAAGAATCTGTTATAAAACAAATGCAGGTACTCTATTTCCTGTTTGAGTCTTTTCCTTTAATGTGAAATAATTTCAGCATAGTTTAGCTAATATTTTTTTCTAATATAGAATCTTAGAATCCTTTAGGTTGGAAGAGAGCTCCAAGATCATCCAGTCCAACCATCAAGCCAACACTCCTGAGTCCTCTGCTCAAACAGATTCAGAATCTGTCAGGGCTGGAAGGGACCCCAAGGACCCCCCAGTTCCACCCCCCCTGCCATGAGCAGGGACACCTCCCACTAGATCAGGCTGCCCAGAGCCTCCTCCAGCCTGGCCTTCAAGACCCCCAGGGAGGGGGCCTCACCCCCCTCCCTGGGCAACCCCTCCCAGGCTCTCCCCACTCTCCTGGGGAAGAACTTCTTCCTCACATCCATCACTCTTTCAGCTTCTCTGTCGGGTACTAAACTGCAGTTGAGCTGTCTGCCAACAGAGACAGATCTGATGAAATGGTGATAAAAAGGAGAGAGGGAAAACATGTGTGTTTTGGTATTCCAGTTTAACAATGTTGGGTTTATTTCACCCTCATTGCAATACTTACTATAAACTGCCATGTAGCATTTTTTTCACCACAAAACTTTACCAATATCTGAACAAAACCAGATGTGAAGTTGAAATGAGGTCACAGATTTCAACTCTGATGCAAGTTCCATTATTGAAAATCTGCTGTTACTCTGTCTAAATTGATGAACATCTGGTTACACAAGCAAATCTTCAAGTACTGAAAAACAAAGGGTCATTTACATTGTATTTCCTGTAAGGAAAATCTATCTCAAATATTCCATTACATATTCTTTCATTTTGCAATAAATTACATTTTAAACCAAATCAAGGCCACTTATATTGTTGTAGTTTGAACATCTCAAATCATGAGTGTATCTTACTTATCCAAAGCCATGTTATACATTATTTGAGATATTAATTTTGATTACAGTTCTTAAATTATTAATTCAACCAATATTCATTATTTTAATGTGAAATTGGTGTTGCAGATCTTTATCTCACCCCTATTAATGAAATGAGAGTTAAAATGTGACATTTTTAGTAAGTTTAAAAGGTGTACTGTGCAGCTTTTTAAGGAAGGGACTTCTTGCATCTTCTGTGTCTTGATTTCCATCTGCAGGAAGAAACCACAATTTTAAAAAGGGAAATTGCAACACTGGAAGAGTGCATAAAGACCAAAACAGATTTGCTGGAAGAGGAGAAAAAAAAGCATGAGAAGCTTAAAAAAGAAATCGAGGTGAGTGGTTTGAATAAAATATAATTACAGCTCTCCTGACAGAATGTAGGTAGGGCAAATTAAGTTTTAAGTGATTTTTACACTGTTGCTGCCTGAACATTACTGAAGACCACCCAATAACCGTGCTATCTTAAATTCCTGACACTGAGAGTCTTTTCTAAAATTCAAAACTTAGTTGCTATCATGAGAAAAATTGAAGTTAAGATTTTTTCTGAAGTCTTTTAAGGAGTTCATCTGTGAGCCTTTGGGATGATGTCCTGAGAAGAAGCAGGTCACTGAATGGTACTAAAGCAAAATGCACTTTTTTTAAGATTTCTTTAATACTTTTGAAATACTTTAAATTTCACTGCTGACTTCATCATTCATGACCTATCTCATGGTTCCTGATAACTCATCAATGGCCGAATCAGTTGCACCAAGAAAATTGTTTCCCATGAATCTCCCTAATTCGAGCTGATATTAAATTAGGAATAAAACAGCAGCTCCTAATTAACTGCCAAGATAAAATTCTGATAAATAGTTAAAATAATTTTTAAAATAAATAATTTGAAATAATTAAAGTATATTTTGCCTTTTTTATTTTTTTCCTTACTAAAATAATTTGTATGTCTAGATAGTTTTTAGTTAGGAAGTTTCACATCACTTATTGTTAGTTCAAATCAATGTCACAAAATTTAATGAGCAGGGTTTGGTAATGTAAAGATCTCTGTTGCCCATTGTAAAATGTAGGAGGAAAACAGAATAACATCTCATGTGTTAGGGTGAGCTGCAAAATCTTTCTAGACCTTATAGTATACATTGGCTAGAGCTCTGCTGATCAAATCAGGAATGTTATATTCTAGTTTACACCTAAATACACTTGTCAAAGAATGAAATTTTCTCTCACTCTGGAGCCTGAAATCTTCCATGTAGAGAGCATTGCCATGACTGTGAGGTGCTGACTCTTTGGGTGGGATTTCCTTTGTTAATTTTTAGACACCTACAGAGCAGATACCCACACTAGACTCCTTAGTCAGGAGGAGTCATTCTCCAGTCTCCAGTCTCCTCCAATCCTCCACTAAGAGCTGAATCTCCAATTGTTCAGCTCTTACTGATTGGACAGAGTTTTTCATTCCCTTAGTAGGAAAGAGGCAGGATCACAGCATCAAAGAATGTCAGGGGTTGAAGGGACCTCCAGAGATCATGGAGTCCAACCCCCTGCCAGAGCAGGACCATCCAGTCCAGGGCAGGTCACACAGGAACCCCTCCAGATGGGGCTGAAAAGTCTCCAAGGCAGGAGACCCCACAACCTCCCTGGGGAGCCTGTCCCAGTGCTCTGGAACCCTGACAGGAAAGAAGTTCTTCCTCATGTTGAGGTGGAACTTCTGTGCTCCAGCTTGTGACCATTGCTCCTTGTAGGGCAATTCATGTTGCCCTAAAGCAGAGAGCTGAGAGAAGTCAGATGAATTGCATCCTAGAAGTCTGTGTCTACTCAGTAGCTCTAAAGTGAAGCTGGAATGACCTGGTCAAATGTCAGAATCTACACTTAGGTGAACTGAACCCACCCCTGTATATTGTTCTGAAAGAAAATTTGAAGTTAATTTTATTCTGTTTTGTTAGGTGCAGAATAAAAGATACAATGCTATTCTAAAACGTTTGCATTGCCAACTGAACAAACTCCAGTCCAAAAGAAGACAATGGCTCTGGAACATTCAGCAGCTGGAGAAGAAGGCAGCAGAGCTAAAAAAGAGTGTTGAAGTTCTGGAGGTACAAAGCAGCATATAGACCAACCCAACAAAGCTACAATGTGAGTAACCTTTCCAGACAGAGTTGGGTTTTTTTCCTGGAAATACTAGAAATAGTAAATAGCCTGAGAGCTGGGCCAAGGCTCAACAATTTCTTTCTTTTGTAAGTTTTTCTCCCTTTCATCCCGTGGCCTAAGCTGGGCTGTGCTCAATCTGTAATGCTTTGTAAGAACTTTGCTGCTTTTTTTTTTTTTACTGTAGCCAGAGGCTGTTCAGAAAGCAAGTCACTCAATGACTTTTCCAGGTGTTTTCAAAATACGTGCCAATTTTATCTAAAAAGCCATTTGAAGTCAACCAAATAAGATTTGAGGAGTTTATTTTTATCTGATAGATCTCTGAAGATTGAGACCTACATTGTTTTTCCTCCAGAGAAATCGCTACCAGTGTGTGTTTGCATTCCTGGGATACCAAGATTCCAGATCTTTTATCCACATCCCCTATTACTGCAGCCTGAGATCTCACCCAAGCAGTACCAGCCATCAAACAGCTAGGTGCTGAATGTTAGGTGAGGTGATTTTTCACATAAATGACCACCTGTTAAAAATTGTGGTTAAATTAATAGTGAAAGGTGACATTTTTCTTCACCTTTTTGTTATGTGCTTTGCATTTGAGGAATTTTACTTTCTCTCTTCTTATATTTAAGGTAATAGTTCAGGATGGACATAACCTGTAACGTTGTTCTGTTCTATGAAAGTAGCTATTAATTCAAGGTGTTGTCTTAAATAATTTAAATTTATCTTTACTGCTGAATATAAAATAAAGGTTTTAGCAAACTGAGTATTGAGTGTGGAGACTGCTAAAGTGCCCATATACTGTTAGCTTGGGAAAGCAAATTCTAAAATGCAATCCTGTTTTATTTTTTATTTATACTGAATTTATTCAGCCATCTGGTCAAATGAGTGTACTTTATATCCCCTCCAGAAAAAAATACTTATGCACTGGCTTCTTGAGGAATTAAATAGATTAAGACTTATGAAATTATTGACTGTCAGATCTGACTGAGAACTTTAATGTATCCCCTCAAAAGTGGCACAACATCCAAAGTTCTCAGGGTATGAAGACTATGCTCTCAAATGCTGTTTTGAACAGCAGCAGGTTGATCTCAGGGAATGATTTTTTTTCTCTTAGCAGGCAAGCACAGAGAGTGGGAAAATGGGTTAAGGTTTTGTGAGGATGGCTCAGTGAGTGCACCTCACATAAGGCTCTCCCAACTCCCAGTGGGGAATTGTGCTGCCAGAACCCTGCCAGGCAGCTCTGGGGCTGGGTGTGGGGCTCAGGGAGCTTCAGACACACATGTACCTCTGCTGACACCTGCTGAGGTGGCTGCTCTTGTGAAGAGACACAGAAGAGAAGAGGGAAGTAGGCTGGGATAGACAGGATGTTGTGTTGCCTCCCCTCTGTCACAGTTGCTGTGGCCCTCAGCAGAGCTGTGTGCAGGAGTGTGACAGCAAGGAGTGAGTCCTGGCCCACTGTGGTGTGCATGGTGCTCCAGGGGAAGAGGAAACCGTGGCCACACCCTGCATCGCTGGTGTGGCGTGCTGCTGAGGTGAAAAGACAGCTTCCCAGAACTCTTACCCAGCTTTCTGAAAGGCATGAATACGTCGTTATCAAAGTGATCATCAGAGCCTTTGTGAAACTGTGCCTGCAGAACCTGGCTCTGAGTCACCGCGAGGCAGGGACTTCTTGAGGAATTCTAAGCAGTGCTCAAATATTTCCCTTTTAATTCTCTGCTTTGCAGGAGGCAAATGCTTTTCCAGGAGCAGAGTTAAGGCAGTGCAGGGAACTGCCTCAGAAACATGGATCAAGCAAAAACAATTCACAGGGTGCTGAAAGCACCACACTCAATTCTTTCACTTGGCTTTTAATGACATTTAAAGGAAGCAACATGTAGCAACCTAACAAAATGAAGAAAAACCCAAACAAATAGCCACAAACTGCAAAGGATAAAGCAAGATAAACAACCAAATCTCTGTCCAAAAAGAGGAGCACTTGCTCTGCACGTTCCCCATCCAGATGAAAGCAGACAGAGGAGGCAGCTTTATCATATCAATAAATACAAATCTGGTTGAAAATGGTTGCTACAATAATGAGCAAAGGATAGTGCTCTGTGTTGAACAGAGAGATAATCTGTTAGGAAATTACATGAGTGTTTCTACGTTTTGCAGTTGCTTTTTAATTTTAACACAGTTTTACATAACGCAGTAAAACTCTGACTCTCTCCAAGAGCAGCAAGCTTCTTAATGTCTCATTATAAACTTCACATACCACATATTCAAAACCCACTCTCTAGATGTCACACAGGAGCTTCAACGTTTTTCTGACATCTACACATTATATTAATTAACCCCATGTATCACTTGTAGTGTTCTCAACAAAGTTACAAAGACTTCTAGAGCAGAACTGGCACGGACAGTTTGAAAGGCAGTTGCTGTTTTCCCTCTGACAATAAAGTCCAAGAGTTCCCTCTCGTGGTGAAATGCCTTTTTTACACGGACAAGGCACCTCTCACACTTGTTTGAAAATCACTACTTACACTGATAACAACCAGTGTTTCTACAGGACATCATGAATACTCCTAAATGCAATTTAATTTTAAAAAGTCAGGATGAAAAGGAGGTGCTGAGTATTATCTTACAACTGCCAACAGCAACTGCAGGATTTGATTTATTGATTCTTAATTGTTGATCTGTTTTTTCAAAGAGGAAATATTTGGCAAATTTCCTCAGCTCTTCCAATCTGACTTACAATGCCATGTCCACCACAAATGACTTACAATGCAATGTCCACTACAAATGGAATGACTTCACATTTTTTTTTCTGAAAAATAATTTAAAAAAATGTGCATGTGAGCTAAAAGCAATCTTCTAAACCTTCTCCTTAGGTCACTTTCTTCTTAGTAAGAACTACTCTGTTTAAGATCATTGGCTCCCTGCTATTTGCTGAAAAATCTATTTCCAAAAAGTGACATTAGAGCTGCCTCAAACTGCCAAGAGCTGGTAGTTATGCATTTGCAAGGTATTGTATAAACCATCGTTCCCAAGCTTCTGCAATAACCCTGCCTGGGCTGAATCTTTTGGCCTGAAGCTGCAGTTGTGTCTCAGGGTCGGTGTTCTGGAAAGACTGAACACAAAGTGTGGATGTCATGGCTTGAGGCTCCCTTACACCCAACAAGGGAGCAGCACTCTGAGGCTGATCCAGTTCTTGTGTGCCCTGTGGCAGAGTCTGGCTCCTTCCACTCACTACAAAGGAATCCTAGAGCAACTACCTGTAATTTAAAAGACTCAATTAAATTTTGTGTGAGATCAGCCCAGAAATATCACTGACAGCTTGTTGTTTATCCTATTTAAAGGTTTATTTCATGGCTGTGTGCTCTGGAGCAAAGGATTGCATTTTAGGCAGGGTTTTTTTGGGGGGAGAGGGAGGACAGGTTCAGCCTAACTGTAATGTAATTTTTTTAAATCAACTTTCTCTCTTTCAATATGGGCACAGAATTCTAATCTGTTGAACCCTGACTTCATGACACCCATATAAAATTTACATCAGTAGACTAATGGCCTCCTCAGCCAGCTTGGGCAGAAGTTACCTGGGTCTCGTGGTTGAAATGTTCATACTGGTGCCACGACTCCTTCAGCCACTAATGTGTTTGTGTGAGGCTGACTGGTGGAGCTGGGAACACCAGCAAGCTCTTTGGGAAAGGAGAGCTTGTGTACCTCAATTCCTTCTGTCCAGTTACATCTGTTGGTTATTCCTTTATAGTCATGGAGGGAAGGAAACACTTCTAAGGGATGTTTCATCTGAACTGCCTAATATGGGTGCATTAGGATGACAGGAATTGTGCTCCCCAAAGTCCTATTTCTCTCAATTGACTGTAAGGGGTGTAAATAACTAGCTTGGGTGTATATAAACAAGTCCTGATGTCTAAAGTTAGGAAAGATGTACCTGAGCCATGTGTCCTTGAGCCACCACAGCCATAACAGCATTATTAGTAAAAACTCAGTGTCTATTTTTTCCCTCTTTATTGTCTTACTGCTGGCCACATGTTTTTATTTGTATTTCTCTAGCTTTCCTTATTGATTTCCTGGTCTGTAGGCTTCTCATTTATATATATTACACTCAATGTCATGTTTTCCATATGTTACACTGGGCAGCAGTAGGAGGCTGGTCCTAACAGCTATTTCCATTTACCAGGGAACCAAAGGAGGCTTTTAGCTGAAGCTTTCCTCTTTGTTGATGGAATACTCTTTGCTTTTTAAGCACCTTTTCAGTTTATGTCATAGAACTCCTATTTTTCATTTGCTTTCCTCTATCTGCTCCTCCCCAGCCAACTTCACACACAGTTTCCCTGGTGGGAAATCAGCCCTTTTGCAGCACCAGCCTCTGTGCAGGGGCTCCACCTCCCCTACCCTGGACACCTAGTTAGGATTCAGTAGTTCTCATTCTGGAGGTGCCTTGTCCTTTGCATTGACTGTGGAGGGGATCTGGAGGGGAAGAAATCTACTTTTTGTACAATTAACGTGAGCTGAGATGAAACATCCAGGGCTCCAAGGCAGGTGGCATGACTTGCCTTCTAGCAGTGCCTATTTCCCTGGGCTGCCTGCTTGAGGAGTCCAGGGCAACCATTTCTAAACTCCTGGTAGCTGATTAAAATTACATGGCATAAATCCCCTCTGTCACCTGCAGCCATCCCTCACCCACGCCAGGACAGGAATGAATACAGCTCCATCCATCGCAGGGAGGCCCTAACTGAGTCCCCATGTATTGAGAGCAGTAACACTTTCTGTGTTAAAAGATCACAAGGAATAATTTTAGAAACTCTAATAAGCAGTGTGACCTCCATGCTGCATTTCTGAAATTGAATTCTCCCAAGGCAAGACAATTGCTCCCCCTCAGTCTGCCTCTCGCTGCAGACAAGGCCTGAGAAGGAGTTCTGGTGTGGTTTCATGGTCTATAAAGACTCTCCCTCCTTCCCACTCTGCTGTG